GGGGTCGTATTCCCATTTCCCAGCCCAAATTTTGACTAAATCCCATTGTCCCAGAGCACAAATCCCATCATCTCAGTGGCTGTCCTGCTCAAATCTTAATCCCATTCCCATTTTCTATTGTTTTTTGCTGATGAATCCCAGTCCCAGTGCATGAAATCTCATTTTCCCACCCAAAAATAAGCAAATCCCTGTTCCCATTTTACCCCTTCAGGACCCTCATAATAGACCTTATGCATAATGACATCACAAGACTTGATGCCCGCGAGTAATGCTGGTCTTAGTAGTCATCGTCCGGGAAAACTTAACAGTTCAAAATGGCCACTATCGAAATTTTCCCGGGCGATGACTACAAAGACCAGCATTCCTCGCGGGCATCAAGCCTTGTGACGTCATTATGCATAAGGTCTATTGAGATAGTTCCGTTTGTTCTAAATACACGTACACTTAAAGTTACAATTTTCCAAAGGCACCAAACAGACTCCTCTACTACGCAACATTTGCGTGACACGTGACCAGCTCCGACCAGAGTCTTTCCTCCACAAGAAGGAAGAGCCTGGGAACGAGGTTGCTTCCGAGAAACCAGGCTGATGAGCTAAAAACCAAAATGGAAAGACAGGTATCTCTGTTGGAAACACATTCTTAGAAAAAATCCTTAGTCGCTGGTATTGCTTTTACTGTTTAATTTTAAGGTATTTTCATAGTTTTAACATCACAAACATTTTAAATAGCATGTGACTATTAAATAAACATTTGTCAAATTTTATATCATAGTATAATCCACTGGTCGGGGCTCTAATGCAGAGTACATAGATTTTGTACAGTATAAGAGGGTCCTGAAGGGGTAAAATGGGAGCTTGGATTCGCCTGTTTTTGGGCTGGGATAATGTGACTTAATGCACTGGGACTGAAATTCACCAACAAAAAAATAGAAAATAGGCATTTTGAGCAAGACATAAACTGGGATGATGGGATTTGGTTACAATTTGGGCTGGAAAACTGGGATTAGAACAACCCTCGTATAAGGAGAACAGATTTTGGGTGTTTCTGTAACAATACAGCATTTTGAGAAAAAATTTATTGAATTCAAAAGCCATATAATTAACAAAATAATAAACGAAATCATGGGTGTGGTCCTCACAAACATTGGGGCTGGTCTCCAATCTATATTTGGGGGTGGTCTCCAACCCACATTTGGGGTGTTCTCCAACCCACATTGCAGGTGGTCCTCCACCCACATTGGACGTGGTGTGCCACCCACATTGCGTGTGGTCCTCTAGCTCTCGCAACTAGTGCAAAATGGATGTTCAAGGCCTAATTGAATATTTACTTTACCAATTAAAGTACAGCACTACATTTTCTCTTAGGTTATAGGGTTAAAAACATATTTTCTTGAAATTTTTCAAAGTTCAGCAGAGGGCATTAGGACAAGCCAAAAATCAGAGGTAGATAGTCAACAAATCAACAGCCAAGAAAATTTAACTTCGAGTGGCATCGTGAAGTCAACAAATCTTTGACGACTCTGTCGACCAGCCAACCAACAGTCAACTAAGTGATGCAACAACGATAACCTTGACTAATCCAAGCCAAAGAGTCGAGGTGAACAGTTTAATAAGAACCTGCAAGTATAAATTCCAAAACTGTTGCAGAGAAAGAGTGCCAGACTTCAGATGGTGTTTAAATTTCCAATAATGAGTATGATGCACTGTTAAAGAAAGCGTCCCAATGGTCCTAAGCATCTACTCAATTGTCTTCAAGTGCAACAAATGTGAACTCTTTTTTCTTCAGTCCTTGCTCCATTGTTGGGTTATGTTTGTAGTGTTTAGAAGACGTCACTATAACAAAGCATTGATGATAATGCTTTCCTTCACTCGGAAGGAATTGCTACTTCTATATTCGAAACCGTACGTTAACACTTGGCTCCATTCGATCAATATCCAGCTGAGAACTTCCACTCAGTGTTAAGAAGAACCAAGGAGACCGATACAGCCGATGAAATTGCATCCAAGGCAAAGAAATTGATACCTGTAAACATGAGCTGCGTTCCTTTCAATCAGTATTTGTGTCACCTAGAAAATTTAAGTTTAGTTCAAAAATAATTAATAAATTAAAAGCAAAGGCTGCTGAATTCCTCACGTGCACCCTCAAGTTTGAATCCCTTTTTACACACCCTAACATGGCAATTCGACAACCCAGAACCCACCAACAACCTAAACATACCACCACGTGGAAACGTCCCAACCTGTTTGGCGAGAAGATTATCACCAATCGAGTGCTCCCGCTGGGGTTCACATCAGTGTAAAACTCACCAAACCCAAGCAGGTAAATAGAAAACAAACGAGGGGGGGCTTCAGTGGTGAACAATTTCAATTTAACCCAATGCAAGTACTGTACACTTAAAGTAACACACAGGCAAACCAATTGCTGCAATTGGTGTGCCTGCAAGTAATAAATAATGCTTTTAAAAATCTTCAATTTCAAATGAGGCAGTAAATTGGTAGGCAAATCTTTAAATAATATTCTGTGATTATTGTAAACTATGTACCAGTCAACATAAATCCCCGCCTGCTTAAATCTAGGAAATGTGGGGGCCATTGGGCAAAGAAGTGTCACAAAAACAAAACCAGATATTTATACAATCCAGCAATTTTGATTATGCAGTGATTAGAAGTAAAAACTGTCAAATTCTGGGTTGAGGGAGGTGGTAATTTACATTGATTGGTACTATACACTTACTAATGGGATGCCATGGAGTCAGGTGAACAGCTGCCAGTTCCGCTGAAGTGATTCAAGACATTGTCCAAACACGTTCTAGAGATTATGAGTGCTGTTTTAACTTTGCTATACACACTCATATTTTGAAACAATTTGGCAAAGGACGTACTGACTAATACATGTAACATAAATATAAAATATAAGTCTTACTTTAAAATTTTCATCATAAAAAATGCGATATGCCTGCCTGCAAAAAGGTTAATCCATTTTGGAACGTTTTCCGTGGTTGTGGACATTCGTTCCACATCGAGTGCATCCTGCCCAACATCAGCAATTGCCCAGTTTGTCCAGCAACGTTGTTGGCAAATGTTGAAGCTCTTGGAAGACAGCGAATAACGCTGTGTTTGCTTCGGCGACTCGCTTTGAAGAGGACGAAAGCGATGAAGAAAGTGAGGCAATCGATGACGATGACGCTGAAGACTAACCAGAAGACGAACAGGACGAAAGCTGATTGGCCAACATTATTTATCCTGGTTAGCAAGATATCTTCATCGTCTGACAAATCATCTTGTTCACTATCCGCATGTTCTTTTGGGGGAATGTCACGCATGCGCACTTCTTTGCTGCGAAAAATTGCGATGAGCTGTTTGCCGAACACTATATAGAGATTTTTGTCACGAATGACAGAAAATATCAAACATGCTTGATATTTGCTGTTTACGACACAAGTGTCAAAAATCCTGAATATTTTCCCCACACACTATGATTTTTGTCGCACATAATTGGTCACGAATGACAACTGAACGTGCAACAACTTTA